ATATAATAATATAATATTGTATAATAAAGAGTAAACTTGCTGAAAAAATTAATACAAAGATATGGAAAAAAATTAAAACACTTGAAGAGAGCACAAAGTAAACATTAGAACACCAATACTGCCAAAATAGAAGTGACAGTTTGGTAGAAATGAATCGAGGGAGTATGTTCCACTCTCATCGATGGAGGGTTGTCACATGATGATTTGCATGCAAGATGCATTGGAATCGGTCAATTCCAGTTGTGGAAGATTAAAGGCTTGTGGCATGCTATATATTTTTTTTTGATATAGAGGGCAGCACTAAATGAGAATAGCTATTTGTGTGAGTAGAGGTAATGTACCAGATCGAAATTTCAATAATAAATGTTTTCAAATTGATAAGTAGTTCAAAGCTTGATAGAAACCTCATATTACAACCCAACTCTTTGAATTTATCAAGCATGTTATGGACAATATGTTCGTAATTTGGGTCTATGTTGTTTCCTAAAAATGTGTCAATAACACCTTTAAAGGCAATCCACGCTTCTTTTTCAACTTTCCTCATTGTCCTTTCGAACTGTTCATCCGAAGTAAATTTCCTAATCTGAGACCCAACAAAAAGCTCTTCTTTAAGTTTCACTTCTGAAAGAGCTGGAAATTGCTCACATAGATACTTGAAACAGTCGCAATCTTTGTCTAAGGCTTTTACAAATTGCTTCATCAAGCCCAGTTACATGTGAAGTGGAGGTAATAGGACTTTTTTTGTGTCAACCAAATTTTCACGTTCAATGTTTTTTGATCCTGGTATCAGGCTGACTCTGTGTGGCCATTGCTTCTTTATACAACACATTTACCACAAATATATTTGGTTCAGAGATTTGATGGTGTACAGTAATTTATTTTTTTTTAGTATAAAAGAAAACTGGTGTAATCATTTGTTTTAAGGCCATTATAGCCGTATTCTTTGTATTGATAAGTTTCCAATATTGAGATTAATACAATTAACCTCAAACAAAAATAACATAAAAAAATGCAAATTTAAATCACTTTCAGAAGAAATTAGATAGACTTTGTTGTTTTTTTTAAAAAGGTAGAAAGTTATTGCTCTGCAAAAACGTTCAACTTTTTAAAACAAAGTAGAAAGTTTTTGTAAAGTAATATAAGTAAAAATGTGGAACATTGGGAATGTGTCTTTTTCTGAACCTAAAGAAGTCTATTGAAAGTTCATTTCTTACACTCACATATTGACTATTTCCCTGAAAATCTTCTGGTGATGTCCGCAAAGAACAAGGGTAAAGGTTTCATCAAGACATCAGGGAAATGGAGAGGAGGTATTAGGGAAGATGGAACATCAGCATGATGGCTGATTACTGCTGGTCATTGAAACAAAATGTTATTTAAGTTATTTAAGACTAGATTAGGTTAAATAAGTAATAATAATAATATAATCAAAATTGTTCATGAGGCTTGCATGTGAGCAGCTTGTGGGTAATGTAATTCAATAGTGTGACGTGAGCTGCATGTTCCCCAAGTGATTTAAAACTTGTAATGGCACAGATAGTAGTTAGATGTGGTTCAAAAGGCAATAACACAATAAAATTTAGTTATAAATAGATGTATACTGTTACAAACTTAGAGCTACTTAAGGTAAACGAATGTAGTTTCATGTTACAATTTGAAGTTGTAATTTTATTTCGATTTTTTTTGGTGGTTACAAAGTCGTTTGAATTGACCAATCCCATCTTGAGATAGGGAGAGAAAATAACAGATAAACTATAAGGATTTGGTGAAAAAAAAAACGTTTGAAGTGCATTTAGGAGACTTAGGAATTACACAAAGGAAATTTGAGATTTTTGAGATGACGAAAAGTATTTCTAATTTTAACATGAAAATTACTTTGCACATGGACTATTCAAAACAAATACTCAATATATTCATGGACAAATCTTTATTCTATTTTATCAAAAATACTTTACTAAAAATATAATTTTTTTGTATGTGAAAGACTGCCAAATTTTGTGAAGATATACACACTATATTGAAAGTTAGAAGTATTAAATCTATAAAGACTTTAATTGAGTACAAAGAGGTCATGCTGTTGGTCAAATTGACTGAGCCCGTGTTGAGAGAGTTAACCCTACCACTACAGATCTTACTATGGTCAGGGGTCAAAGAGCATGTCATCATGTTTGTAGACTTATATTCAAAATTTTATTGAACTACTATTTTATGAATGTATGTCAATAAGTTTGGTATCAAATTGTAAATTATAATTCAAATGTTAGTATTATACATTATTTAATATCATAATTTAAAATAAATACTAAAAGAAATCCTAAATATTGATTTTTGTGTGTCATGTAGTATGTTG